TGGGGAGAACTTGAAGATGAAACAGATAATGGTTAGTCTAGTGGATTGTGACTCCTGATGTCTCCTTTGTGTTAGACTGGAAAGTTCTGTGCGGGAGTTTGGAGGCTGGGACCTTTTGGAAGCACCAGGCATGTTTTGACACCTTTGGGTGAATTTTAACAGTCACATTTTAACTATTAGATGAGAATTTAGCTTGCTTGGTCCTCTAGGAGCTCTGCAAACAGATGGAAGAAGATGACATCAGTAGGCTTTGGCAGAGATTTGTTGAAAAAGGTCATGGCACGGAAGGCCTTGGTGCTGTGGTTGATGATGCCACAGAAACAGGGAACACAGAAGAACAAACACTTGTAAAAGTTTCAACGACCTGTCAGAGAGCAAACACCGGTGGGTCTGGGAGAAGCTTCAGTGAGAGTGGCCATGTAAGGTGGAACTGGATGGGTTTTGCAGAACCCAGAAATATTTCTTAGAAGAGTTGAACATGGACGGTTTTATTTTATTTTTTAGGTTGAATTGCCTCAGGTTCTTGGCATTGATGACTTTTGTATTTTTTTTTAATTGACTTGAGTTTTTGTGGCCAAAATAATTTTAAGTAGGAAAATTTACTTGCCCTCTGAGAAACTTTGAATCATTTCAAAGAGCTTTTCCAAGTACTCAAAATAGAAATGACATTCTCAATATATTTACATTTATATTCACATTTTAATTCCTATATGAGTATGTGAAGCTATTTATGCCTTGTTGTTGTTGTTGTTGTTGTTAGGTGCCATCGAGTCAAGTATGATCTATAGTGACCCTGTGAACAATGGATCTGAACTCTGTCTTATCCTGTGCCATCCTCACACTTTCTGACACATTAGAGTCCGTTGCAGCAGTGTCTGTGTCAATCCATGGAAGCAAGGATTCAAGCCATGGTCTTTCGGATACCTTGCTATACATCTGAGAGGTGGACTATGAATAAGGATGACAGAGAAACAGTTGATGCCTTTGATCTGTGGTGTTAGAGAAGAATATTTAGCATCCCATGGACGGCCAAGAGAACAAGCAAATATGTCTTGGAGAGGGTACACTGACTATGTGCCTTTTGGAGACAAAGATAATGAGGTTTCACCTCACATCCTTTGAGCATGTTGCTAGGAGGGCCTATTCCTTGGAAAGGGACACGATGCTTGGAAAGGGACTTACCAATATGAACGTGCTCTTAACAGGGTCTTGCTCTTGTTTCTCTCAACTCTTGCTCACAGCAAGTCTTGCCATTCAGTGTGACAGGCTCTCTTTCTTTTATCCTATTCCCACAGTTGATGATGTGTCTGCAGTTAAGGTAACTGGAGACCAGATGAGGCTAACTGTAAAAGAAACCAATTTTTGAACTCACACCATATGTAGCCTCTTCTAAATCCAGATTGAACTTCTGGAAGTTCTCTATATATGCACTATTTTAGCTGTTTTTAAAAATGATCTTCAGCACTATTTTACGTGCGTGCTGTTGTGTGTCATAGAGTCAGAACAGACCATAGAAGACCCTCCAGCAGGTTTCAGAGTCAGTAATCATACAGGAGGAGATTTTCTAGCACTATTTTGCTTACATGTGTGTGATATTGAGGATATTGTTCAACCTTTTTGACATTCTGTTGGATCACCTTTCTTAGGAATAGGAACAAATAAGAATCCCCCCCCAGTCAATTGACTAAACAGCTGTCCTCCAAATTTTTTAGCATAGATTGATGAGCACATCCAGTGCTACATCTGTTAATTGAAACATTTCAGTTGGTATTCAGTGGAGTCCTGTGGCTTTATTATTTGTCAGTGCCTTCAGTGGAGCTTAAACTTATTCCTTCCTTGCCAGTGGCTCTTGTTAGTATAGTACTTCCTGAAAATTTTCAGTGTCAGTCAGTCCTTTTGGGTACAGTCAGTGATTCTGGTATATTTCCTCCATCTTCTTTTGATGCTTCCTGAATCATTCAATATACTGCCTACCTTTCAATCTGGTGACTCAGGAGCTTAAATTATTTTTTTTTTATTTCTCAGCTTGAGAAATGCAGAGCAACTTCTCTTTTTATTATCCTATTCTAGCTCTCTGCACATCCCATTATAATACTTTGCTTTATCTTCTCAAGCTGACATTTGATGTCTTCTGTTCATCTCTTTTACTTCAGCATTTTCCCCTTTGTTTTGGCTTCTCAACCCTCTAGTGTAATTTTCAGAGTCTCTTCTGACATCCCTTTCAGTGTTTTCTTTTTTTTCTTTCTCTTCTTTCTTTGTAATAACCTTTTGCTATCTTCATGGTTGATTCCTTGATGTCATCACACAATTCATTTAGTCTTCAATCACTAGTGTTCAGTGCTGCAAACCTATTTTTAAAATGGATTTTAAATTCTGGTTGGGGAGATTCAGGATCATATTTTGGTTCTCATGGACTTGGTTTTATTTTCTTCAGCCTTAATTTGAACTTAACATGAATAATTGATGATCTGTTCCACAGTCTACCCATGGCCTAGTTTTGACTGCTGCTAGTGAGTTTCTCCAATGATTCCTTCCACAGATGTTGTCATTCTGGTTGTTAGACAGTCAGTCAGATGAGGTCCATGTGTAAAGTCATCATTTGTTTTTTAAAAAGATACTTGCAATGAATAAATCATTGCACACCCAACATTTAGTCATTTCTGTCACCAAGTCCATACTTTCTGTACCATTCCTCCTTCATAGATTCCAACCTTAGCATTCTAGTCATAAATTATCACAAACACACATCTTGATTGTATATTTAGTCAATTTTAGCCTGCAAGATTTATAGAAAGATTTGGAAATATTTTCAATTTTGTCTTTTTTGGCTTTAGCTGTAGGAGAATATACTTGAATAATAGTCATATTAATAGATCTTCCTTGCAGTTGTATGGATAATATCCTGTCGCTCACAACTTTGTACTTCAGGATAGAACTTGGAATTGTCTTTTTAACTAGGAATGTGGCACTGTTTTTGTTATGTTTTTAATTTCCAGCATAGTATACAATGTGATTGTTTGAGTCAAAGTGGCCAAAGCTGGTCCAGCATCTCTTTCTAGTGCCTAGAATGTCAATGGTCATGCATTCAGTTTTCTTTTTCACACATTCTGGTTTTCCAACATTCATGCTTTGTACATTCCATGGTCTAATTATTAAAGGATGTTGTCTACTGTATTTCCTTACTTTGATTGACTTCCAATGTGGGATCTATGTCTAATACTATAACTACCAAAAAGGCCCATTTTCTGGGTCTCAGGTGCTTTAAATAAGAGATCCCAGCCACCAAAGAGTTGTGGATCAGAAAGGCTCCCTGTGATCTTTAGCGATACAAAGTTTCAGTTCTTTTATTGTGGAGTTGCTGGTGAGCTTAACTTGCCAAATTTTACGTTAATAGTTTAGTGCTTAATTGTTGTACCGTGAGGGCTCCTTATTATAATGAAAAATTATATTATTATTCTATATTGTTATTAAGTTATGTAGTAAATAAACATTTGGCTTTCTAGCGCTGCTTTGAAATTTTTATTTTTAAAAATTAATTATTGTTGAAAAATTAAACAAAACAAATTGTCATAAATTTTTTGGCTAGGTATTGTATTTACTACCTACATAAATGTATAATACATCCTAGTGGCAAGGAGCTGCAACTACAATCCCAGAGGTGCACAGTTCGAATCCACCAGATGCTCTGCCGGGGAAGGAGGGACAATTTCCTCTTGTACCAGTCAGATCTGATTTGACGGTACACTCACACAAAAAAATAATAAAATAATAAAAAAAAATTTAGAACAAATGTATAATACATAAAACTAGGAATTAATTGTTGTTGTTGAGCACGTCTCTTAGCAACCATATAAACAAAATTCATGAAGCCTTTCTGATAGAATACTAATTTATATGTCTCAACAAAGAGATGGAGCGCTAGATTTGTACACGAGGCAGTTCTGAGAAATTTAGGAGATAGTTTAACAGCTAACAGGAGGAAATCCATGTTTGTTCCCATTCCCAACAAAGGTGATCAAACAGAATGTGAAATTTTTCAAACAGAATCGTTAATGGCAGTTGAATATTATTTTCAAATGTTTAGAAAAATACCTTGAAAGAGAACTGCCCAAGAGTCAAACTGCATCCAGAAGAAACCATGGTACCAGAGATACCATTGCTGATGTCAGATGGGACTTGACTGAAAGCAGAGAGTACCAGAAGGTCTTCTTTTGTTTTATTGACTGTCAAAATGCATTTGAGAGTGTGTATCATAATAAATTGTGACTAATATTGGGAAGATTGCAAATCTGAGAGCACTTAATTGTGCTCATGTAAAACCTCCAGAAACTGTTGTCTCAACAGAGTTAGGAAACTCTGCATGGTTCAGAAATCAAGAAAGTTGTATATCATGGCTGTATCCTTGCAGTACACTTGTTCATTCTAAGTGCTAAACAAATTATTTGAGGAGCTGGACTTTATGAAGAGTGTGGAAACTTGCTGCAGAACATCATAGATTACAATCTTCAGTAGGAATTATATATATCAACATAAAGAAATGTTGGGAGTAGAGGCCAGTCAATAGAAAAAGACACCGTCCTCAGAAAAGTAGGGAGTCGGTGAATGAAGGTAGGACACTCCAGGAGCTGGATTGACACAGTGACTGTGAGAGTAGGTGGTCATGTGGCAGAGATGATGAGGATGGTAAAAGTTAGGGCAGAGATGAGACTTCTTGTTCATAGGAATAGGATTGCTAGGGGTTGAAGGCACTGAACAGCAACAATCATATAATTACCGGTAATGTAGTGGAATATAATATGCTGCGGGACATTGTTTCGTGTCCTATATATGTAATTGCAATAATTATTTGTTAAATATTTTCTTGATCTTTAGTTTAAGCACAAATGTTATTATGTATTGGATTTTAATCCTGACTCTGGAGACCTTTTCTTTACTTACTGAATTCCAATGAGTGTATTCTAAAACCAACATTCTTCCTTTATCTTACTCTCATTATGCAGTTTTGATGTCCTACTTGCTGGTGGTCCAGAGGAAGTTTTGAAAAAATTTCAAAAGGCGAACCACAAAGTAGTCTTTGCAGCTGACGGAATTCTGTGGCCAGACAAAAGGCTTGCAGACAAGTACCCTGTTGTGCACATTGGAAAGCGCTACCTGAATTCAGGAGGTGGGTATGGAACTGACAGAAAATAATTTACAGAAATTAGTAAATTACCAAAATAGATGAAACAATTTTTTTCTAAAAATTGTTCTATTTGACTGGTACTTGTAGATATAAAGTTTTAAATGACCATTAACTTATCGTCAATAAGAAAGTAGTAATTAATAAAATTAATAAATTAATAATTAATAAATAATTGAGAAACTTATCACTGGTGGCCTAGGGTAAGAAGTTGTCCTGCCAACCCAAAGGCACATGGTTCAAATCTCTGGCTGCTCTGTGGGAGGAAAATAAGTAGTTTCCTCCCATGCAGTTTACTGTCTCTGAGACAGTAGGGTAGGTTATAAGTTAGTTCCCACGTGAGAATACACAACAACAAACTTATTATTACTATGGGTCAATAATATCTGTTTAAAATTCACAATTTGTTTCTTATATATTAGGTCATTTGATGCTGTTAGCATCAGTAGGTTGTTTAATATCATTACTGTTTTCACATTATAAGTAAAGTAACCAAAGATCTCAGAATTTAAGCAATTTCTCCTTAACAGGAACCCTTGACAACCCTGTTGTCGAGTGGCACTAACAGTTGACACTCCAGTGTGTTTTCAGAGGCTGCAAATCACAGCAGGAGATTTCCCATCTATTTCCCATGGTGTAGCTGGTGGATTCGAACTGTGTACATTTGGATTGGCAGTACTATTCTACACCACTACGCCATAAGAACTTTGTTGTTGTTATGTGCCATCAAGTTGAAACTGACTTACAGCTGACCCTCCAGAGGGTTTTCACGGGCTGCAGGGGAGGAGATTGCTCTTATTTCTCTCTTGGTGGATTAAAATACCCTGCCTTTGGATTTTCAGCACAACTCTTTTCCCCCTAGATCACAAAAGCTTCTGTTGCTGTTGTTAAAGATCATTAGTTGTAAGTTCACACTGACCCTCGAGTGGGTTTTCAGAGGCAGTAAATAGCATGGAGGAAGATGGCCTATCTGCCTCTGGAGCAGCTGGTGGATTTGAACCATATGGCTTTGGGTCGACAGTGCGATTCCTTACCACAAATCCACCGGGTAGCAAACAATAACAACACCAAGAAGCCACCAGACAGACCTCCCTTAAGTGATGCAAAATGGCTAATATACTCAGCTGCTGATCGAAAGGTTAGCTGTTCAAGTCAATCCAGAGTAGGAGAAAGACCTTTAATAGAGAGAAATTGTTTCATTCTATATACAAATCAGGAGATCTGATGGCCTGGTGAGTAAGGAGTCACACTGTTAGCCCAAGGCAGTTTGAATCCACAGCTGCCCTGCAAGAGAGAGTGGGGGAATCTCTTCTCATTTGATTTGTTGCCTCTGAAAACCTACTGGATGATCTGGGATGAGTCTAGTCTGATTTGATGGCAATGAGAGAGAGAGAGAGAGAGAGAGAGAGAGTCTGTGTGTGTGTGTGTGTTTGTATATCTATCTATCGAAATAGAACCTTCAATGTGTTTTTTACACACTGTAAATTGCATACATGGAGTTTTCTCATCCTTCTTTCTCCATGGATTCCAACTTAAAATCCTATAATTTACACACACACACACACACACACATGTAATGTATATTTGTATATGAAATGATCAGGCCTACTTCATAGGGAACTACCCTACTAAAACAAAGATTATGCCTTCCTGGTGTTTTAAGACCACAAGTTCTCCAAGGAAGCAAAATGGGTTATCTCCTCCCATGTGGTTTAAAGCCTCTGAAAAACCTATTAGTCAGCTGTGCATTGGTGACAAGGAGTTTTAGTGAGTTTAACCATCTCACACTTGTGAAATTCTATGCTGAAATTTGCACTGCCCAGTTCCAGCTCACTTTTTCTTTCTTTGTCCGTGCATCTGCAGTTCGTGGTTTTGTGATCTCTTGACTGTTTTGTTTTTACTCCATCTGTGTACCACAGTTGAGTTCTAATTCCCTGCTCAAGTTAGAATATTGGTTTTGTTGTGTGAGCTTTGCGTCATTACCTCAGCAGCCTTTCTAACTTGGATTTCTAGTTTCATGCCTTGTGACACCTCTGTCTTGGATGATGGCTGCTGTACTTCTCCACCTTGAGAACTTGACCTGTAGACTTCGGCTGCGTCTGCTTCATGACATTCAGTCTGCTTTGCCCTCATTACCACATGGCTAATCTTTCAACTTCTCCTAAAACCCAGATAAGATAAAATGATATTTTGGAGAAAATATTTAGCTATAGATTTCTAGGAAGGCTTTTTTTTAATCTTCTTCTTCTTGTTAAGTACCATAGAGTTGGAACCCATTCCAGTGGGTTTTTAGAGGCAGTTAATCGCATGGGAGGAGATTACCCATATTTTTCCAGTGAAGCAGTTAGTGACCTCGGACTGCGTGCCTTAGGAATTGCAGCACAGCTTCTCGACACTACATCACTAAAACTCTTTGTTAATAAAATGATGAAAATATTTCTGAGGATATCTTGTATGATGTAGATCTAGCTGAATAGTAATATTTCCACTAAGTTGTTTAAATTTCTGGCAGATGGTGTTAACAATATTATGAAAGTAACAGAAACTTGAAAGTCTGTAAAAAATTTAATTAAAGAAAATGTGTTTAAAAGTAGAAAAGTAAGGGGAGCTCTGGTGGCCTAGTGGCAAGAAGCTGTACTGTAATCCCAGGGGTAGATGGTTCAAATCCACCAGATGCTCTGCTGGAGAAGGGGGGACAATTTCCTCCTGTACCAGTCAGATCTGATTTGACGGTACATGCAAAAAAAAAAAAGTAGAAAAGTGATCTGGTAAGGACATCAAAGCATTGTCCTTCGATTTCTGTGATAATAGATCTCAGATAATATCAGTATTTTAATAAAGGCCTGTACGGTTTTGGGGATGATAGTTATAGCTCTTTCCTTAGATGTTTTTAGTCAGATGGCTTTTGAGTTCCCGTTTTATTGTGGAAAATGGCATGGAATTTGCCACATAATTCATTTTTTAAATATATAATTAATGGCATTAATTGCATTCACAATATAGTGCAACCATTACACCTGTCTTTTAATTTTTTTAAAAAAAAATTTATCAAAGAGATCAATTTTTTCTTACCAAATAAACTCAGAATATTAATAATATTGTTGGATTGAAGCAATATTACATTTTCATATAAAAATATTTATCATTTGAAAATCTGTATCATGTTTTGGAATACGTATAATTTTGTTTGTCCATATTTGAGATATATAAAAAGGATAAATAAATATTATTTTATAGAAATGTCAGATGAATCTTGGCTAAAAGCAGAGAGTACCAAAAAATATGTCCATCTGTGTTTCATTGACTGTGCAAAGGTATTTCACAACAAAGTGAAACCTTGAGAAGAATGGGAATCCCAGAACATTTAATTGTGCTAATGTGAATGTGAAACCTTGAGAAGAATGGGAATCCCAGAACACTTGATTGTGCTCATGCCAAACTTAGACCAGGAACAGAGCAAGGAAACACTGCACGCTTCAAAATCAGCAAAGAAATGTGTCAGGGATGCATCCTTTCTCCATCCCTTTTTAATCTGTATTAAAAATAATAGATAAAAAAATAAAAAGAACAGATCATTTGGGAAGCTGGACTTTATGAAGGTGGCATTAGGATTGGAGGAAGACTTATTAACAGCCTGAAGCACTGACTGCATAAGATGAAGAACTGTAATCTTCAGTATGGATAGAAGCTCAACATCAAGAAGATAAAGATTCTCACCACTGGGCCAGTTGGCAGCACCATGATAGATGGAGAAGAAGTTGAAGTTGTTCACAATTTCAGCTTGCTTGGTGAACAGTGAACACTCTGCAGCAGCAGTCAGGAAATCAGAAGACAAATTGTGTTCGGGCAGTCTGCCGTCAGGGACCTCTCCAAGTGCTAAAGAACAATGATGTATGCCTGATCCCGTCCATTTCTTTACAATTACTCCTTTATGCATCATATCGCTAAGGATAACAGAAGAAGAGTTAATACCTTTGAGTTCTGGTGCTGGAGAAGAGTACCAAACATACCATAGACCACCAAGAGAACAAACAGATCTATCTTGGAGAGAGTAAAACAAAAGTTTCGCCCTGGAGGCAAGGATTTTGAAGCCCCATATTGTATACTTTGGACACGTGGCCAGGAGGGACCAGTCCTTGGAGAAGGACATCATGCTTGGAAAGATGGAGGGACAACGCAGGGAGGAATATCCTAGATGAAATGAATTGACACAATAACTGAGGTAATGGAGGTAGGTGTGTCTGAGTCAATGAGACTGACTCAGGATAGGGTAGGGTTCAGGGCGATTGTACATAAGCTTGTTAAGAGTCACAGACAACTCGATGGTACTTGACAACAATGCAAACTATTGGAAACTGTTATGTTACTACTTGAGTTTTATATATATATATATATAATTTTTAACCACAAGAGTAATAATTGTGTTTTAAGCTTCTTCATTGGGCATGAATAGAAAACAAATATTAACAATCAGTGACTGTTTTTTGTCTTGTTTTCTCAAGGTAAAAGTAATACTCCTGGACTTATTTTTTTAAAAATTTATTCTTTTATTCCTGTGAGGAAATTTTAATTTTGTGTGTTAAAAAAATGTGGATTTCCTTTCAGTTCTCAAGAGTAACATTGGCCCCGTTAAAAAGTATTCTATGTCAATGAAACATAGCAATTTGGCATTTCTGAGATTCAAGAGAAGACTCAAATGGGAAAAATGATCCTGTTGTCTGTGTCTTTTATGAACAGTGTTACTGGCAGATTCCATGCTTATGTTCAGGCCAAAGGGAACAATCCAATTTTAGACTTCCGTTTTTAGGGCGATGACACACAAAACTTTGCCAGAGAGTGGTTTAGCAGGCACAGTCATGACTAGTTCAAGTAAGGAAAAGTCTCTGAAATATCCTAGATATATGAGATGTTTGCAGCCAGTGACAAGTCCAACATTCCTTTGATTATGTTAGCGTCTCTGGCACTGACAATGAAACCACTATAGTAGCCACTTCCTTTTTTCTGAAAGAGTGGCTTTTCTGCAGAGCATCCAGGAAGTGCATTGAGAAGGTGAGGGAAACATTTTTTCTGTCTTTAAACACTCTCTTTTCTTTTTCTAGTGACTCTTTTCCTGTAAGGAAATTTAGAAGGCATCTGTGCTCTCTCTTATTTTAGTTCATTTGTAGAACGTGTTTATTTAGAATGAGTATTTGATTACTTTTTATATTGAAATTTATAATAATATTCTTTATATTATGGATTTTATATAAAACAAAAGACATCCAATAACTTACACAGGAAATCCTGTGAGAACTGGAACCTCACAGGACAGCCTTGTTTTTCTGATTCTTATCCATCTTCTCCCTTTGATAGGATAGTCTTCCTACTTCTCTGGCTCATTTTAGTGGAAAATATTTTTTTTTCTTCCTTTGCTACCAGATTTTTGGCTTATATATTTTAGTTTTTGCAGGTTTGGCTGCCTGTGCAATTCCAGCGTAAGGATTAAACCTCACTGCATTGTGAGTGTGTGCAATAGATTGGTACAATTAATGTAACGTGAGTCTCGGAGTTTGAATATTGAATACTCTCTCTTTGCTGTGTTTCAGGATTTATTGGCTATGCACCATCTATCAGTCGCATAGTTCAACAATGGAATCTCCAGGATAATGATGATGACCAGCTCTTTTACACTAAAATTTATATTGATCCGGTACAAAGAGTAAGTGATGACCTGCATCTTGCTTTTGCTTTGTTTCGGTTGCTTTGTTAATGATTTGTTAATGTAAAATGCTTAGAAGCAAAGGATGATATTGACAGAAACATTTTGTAATAGTTTTACTCCCTCATGGGAAATTGCTGTGCATCAGAGACAACTCAATGACATGCGACAAGAACAGATTAGAGCTCGAAGCCCTGGTGTAGACAGAGCTTGTCTTTTAGTGATAATACTGCAATGCTTACGAATAAAGCAGCTTAAAATGACAGTGCTTAAATAAGAAAGATGTCTTATTTGTGCATTCATTCATTTACTTTTTGCTCTATCAAATTAAATCTATCTAATAGTAAAGAGTGCAAGGATATTATGTTGGCTTTGTGGCCTTTCTCACCCTATCAGGAGCCCATAGATCACATTTTCATTGTAACCTCCTTGTTCACAATGACTGCTGGAGTTGCAGCTTTTATATTCATGTTTGAACAAGCAAAAAATAGTTGAGTAATACATATGAGGCCATTTCATTTTGGTAAATTGTTTCCAGAAGCCTCATACAATCACTTTCTCAAACCCAAGCTTGATCATAACTTATTGATGTGGTCACACAAAATATGTGAAGGAAATTTTATTCTCTAATGGATTATACTCTACTGAAAATTTGAGTTGTTACTGATGAGTTGAATAGACAAGAGTTTAACAGGCAATCTATTATAGGCCTCAGAGTATGTAATTTGAGTCGTTTGTTACATGAAACTTTAGAGAACAGTAACAATGTTGTTACTGTTTTTATTATGTGCCATCAAGTCACCGGGAAATCACTGCTACCTGGGTGGGATACAGTAGCTGTGAATCCTGTCCATCCTGAGCCATTTTCACTGTCTCCAACACATCTGACCTGTTTCCCCAGTCACTGTGTCAGCCTGTCTCACCCAGGGTCTTTCTCTCTTGTGCTGCCCCTCTACCTTTCCAAGCATGATGTCCTTCTCCAAGGACTGTTCCCTTTTGGCAACATGCCCAAACTGTGCAAAATGTAGCTTTTAAATCCTTGCTTCTCAGGGTATATTCCAAGTACTGGAATAGCTGGGTCACAGGGAATTTCTATGTTCAGCTTTTTTTTTTTTAAACAAAAAAATTTAAATTTTATTTTATTATTTTGTGTGTGTGTACCATCAAATCAGATCTGACTAGTACAGGAGGAAATTGCCCCTCCTTCCCTGGCAGAGCATCTGGTGGATTCAAACCGTGTGCCTCTGTGTTTGCAGTGCAGCTTTCTTGCCACTAGGCCACCAGAGCTCCCCTATGTTCAGCTTTTTAAGGAAGTATCAAACTGCCTTCCAGAATAGTTGTACCATTCTACAATCCTACCAACAATGTATAAGAGTTCCTGTCTCACAGCATCCTCTTCAACATCTATTATTTGCTACCCTGTTAAACTTTGCCACACTTACTGGAGTGAGAGGGTACCTCATTGTGGTTTTGATTTGCATCTCTCTTATTGCCAGTCGTTTGGAGCTTTTCTCCATGTGTCTGTTAGCCCTTTGAATATCATCCTCTGTGAAAATTCTTTCCATGTCTTTTGCCCATTTTGAAATTGGGTTATCAGTCTTTTTCTTGTGGAGGCCCAGGAGTATTCTGTAAACTTTTGTTATAAGACTCTTGTCTGAGATGGTATTACTAAATGTTTGTTCCCAGTCTGTAGGTTTTCTTTTCTCCTTGTTGGAAAAAGTTTTTTGGTGTGCACAGAGACTTAATCTTTAGAAGGTCCCATGCATCAATTTTATCCTCTTTAGATTGTGCATTTCTGGTTGTATTTGGCAGTCTCTTTATACCTTGGGCTAGTGCTTCTAAGCTTGATCCCAGTTTGTCTTTTATAAATGTTTTAGTTTTGGGCTTTACTTCTAGGTCTCTGATAAAAATAAATAAATAAATAAATAAATCCTTGCCTCTAGAGACCAACTTGGTTTCACACTCTCCAGCACCACAACTCAAAGGCATCAGTTCTTCTGTCATCCTTATTCGTTGTTCAGCCTCTGATGCATTGCAAGTAATCACGAAGACCGTGGCTTGGATCAGATGCACTTTAATCTCTAGACTTGCATCTTTGCACTTCACTAGAGTAGACTTTACTAATTCAATATGTCTTTTTATTTCCTGGCTGCTGTTTCCAAGATTGTTGATTGTGGACTCAAGCAAGTTGAAAATGTTAACAGTCTTAATCTCTTCTCCATATCTCATGGTGCTGCCGATTGGTCCATTGGTGAGAGTATTGGTTTTCTTGATACTGAGCTTCACTCTATATTGAAGACTACTGTCCTTGACTTTCTGCATCAGATGCTTCAGATCCTCCTCAGTTTCAATGAGCAAGGTTGCATCATCTGTATAACACAAGTTGTTGGTGAGTCTTTCTTCAAATATGGTGCCACAGTCCTCTTCATAAAGACCAGCCTCCTAAATGATATGTTCCGCATTGAAAAAAGATTGGAAAAAGTATGGAGACAGGTTGCTTTCTTGATGCACTGTTTTCCTGATTTTGAACCATGCTTGCTCTGTTCTGACAGCTGCCTTCTGGTCCAAGTATAGATTTCACAGGAGCAAAATCAAGAGTTACGGGATTCCCATTCTCCTCAAGATTAGCCACAATTTGATATAATCTACACAGTCAAATGCCTTTGCATAGTTAATGAAACACTGATAGACATTCTTCTGGTACCATCTGCTTTTAGTCAAGATCCTCCTGACATTGGCAATGAATGTCTCTAATGCTACAACCTTTTCTAAATCCAGCCTGTACTTCTGGTAGTTCTCTCTTGATGTACTGTTCCAGTTATTTTTTAATAATCTTCAGCGTAGTTGATATTGTTCAGTAATTTCCATACTACATTGGATCACCCTTTTTTGGAATGGGAGTAAATATGGATCTTCTAGTCAACTCATTAGTTTGCTGTCCTCCAGTTTTCTTGCTATAACTTGGTGAGCATGTCCAGGACACCATTAGTTTGCTGAAATATTTCAGTTGGTAGTCTATCAATTCTTTGCGTCTTGTTTTTTGTCAGTTCCTTCAGAGCAGCTTGAACTTCCTCCTTCATCACCATATTGTTGTTGTTGTTGTGTGCCGTCGAGTCGCTTGCGACTCATAGCGACCCCATGTACAATAGCCCTAAACTCTGTTCTGTGCCAATTGCTCTATCTCTGACACTCCCATTCAGATTACCCCAGTCACTGAATTTATCCACCTCATAGAGGGCCTTCACCTCCGGTGCTGTCCCTCTACCCTCCCAGGCATGATGTCCTTCTCCAAGGACTGGTCTCCCCTCACAACATGTCCAAAGTATGTTAGACGGAGCCTTAGAATCCTTGCCTCCAAGGAGCCACCCAGTTTAACCCTTTCCAGGATGAATCTGTTTGTTTTCCTAGCAGTCCATGGTATTCTCAGTACTCTTCTCCAGCACCACAGCTCAAAGGCATCAACTCTCCTTCTATCCTCCTTGGTCATTGTCCAACTCTCTGATGCATAACAAGTGATTACAAAGACCATGGTCTATATCAGACGCACCTTAGTCTCCAGAGAGACACCATTGCTCGTCAGTACTTTGGAGAGGTCCCTAACAGCAGATTTTCTCATGGAAATGCACCTTTTAATTTCCTGGCTACTGGTGCCAAGAGTGTTGACTATGGAACCAAGCAAACTAAAGCTTTGAAAAATCTCAATCTCTTCACCATCCATCCTGATGCTGTCAGTTGGCCCAGTGCTGAGAATCTTTGTCTTCTTGATTCATCACCACAGGCTCTTGATAATGAGATGGATTGATTCAGTTACTGGGATAATGGGGTAGGCGTGTCAGAGACAATAAGACTGGCATAGGATAGAACAGGGTTTAGGTCTGTTGTACATAAGGTCACTATGAGTCGCAGGTGACTGAACGGCATATAACAACAACTACTCATGTGATCAGATATGTTGTTTCATGAACTTCTTTTGTGTCAGCCAGTTGTTTTTGGCACAGTGACTCTGTGTTCTCCTTCCATCTTCTTTTGATGTATCCTGGAAGAGTAACAATAGAGTCTGTAATTCAGGGTTATTTTCAGTATCTTTACTTACTGTGAGTTAATATTCCTTGCAATACAAATTATTCCTAATGGATACATTTTGGAATCTACATTTTTTTTAAAATTTCTGTGTATTATGTTGAGAAACCATGAGGTTTTTCAGCAACCGATAGGCCTATAGCATAAATAATATTAAGGAGGCACTCCTTAAATATGGATTGAAGCTCAACATCAGGGAAACAAAGATTTTTACCACTGGGCTAGTTGGCAGCATCATGATAGGTGGTGAAGAGATTGAGCTTGTTTGCTAGGCTCTACAATCAACACTCTTGGTACCAGCAACCAGAAAATTAAAAGAAATATTGTACTGGGAAATTCTGCTGTCAGAGACCTCTCCATGATTGCTGTAAAGAAGTAGCAATGAATATACTGTACAGCATTTATACCTGTTTCTGTGTCATCTATTTTATTTTATACCTAGTACTTTGAACACTTTATTCTTAAAACTTTTACTTGTCTTCCTTCTCTCCTTTTCATTTCTTCTCTCTTTGTCCTCTTACAAGCACCACACCACCATCCTGAGGACTTGTTCTCTCATTATGAGAAACTTAACTCTTGTCATGAATGCTAGTCCATGCATCATGATGTTTACCTTTTATTAGTGCAGGTGAGCTGTGAAAGTACTCAGTTTTGTTCTTTGGAGCACTTTCTCTTAGTATCACTGTTGGGTTTATATACCATAGACCGCCAAAAGAACAACCACATCTATCCTGGAAAAAGTACAACCGTAGTGCTCCTTAAAATGAGATAGTGAGACGTCATCTCACATACTTTGGGCCTGAAGAAGGATTTCCATTTTTATTTTTTAAAAAAGATATCTTTAGACACAGTAATTGTAAGAATAGGCTTAAACACATCAGACGTTGTTAGCATGGCAGGGTTACTTCTGTTGTACATCGGAAGCTATGAGTCAGAGCTTATTTGATGGCAACTAACAGCTGTCTTTCCTTTGTTTTCCTCTTGTTGACTTGCAAAGACTATTACTATTTCCAGACAGAATCAGAAGTGGTTCAGTTATAGGATTCAGGAGTTCCATGCAGACCCAGGTTTAATTCACATGCCCCTATCCCTCCTGTATCAGAAGAGTTGTCTGTGTTCTCAATGGTTCAGTCAAATCCCATAGCCCATACGGTTGCTCTGAGTTGGGGATGACTGAGTATTATCTAACAATAATGGCATGGCAAGTCAATCTTGTGGATAAATTGGTGCCTTGTAAAGCTGATGAATTGATAATTAGAGTGCTTAATCATTGACTTATCCGGTCAGTCAAGACTGATTATACTGCAGTAATATCTCAGCTACACAGTCTCTAAGCACCAGCAGTCAGGAAATAAAAAGATAAATTGCATTGGGAAAATCTGCTGCCAGGGACCTCTCCAGAGTGCTGAAGAACAATGGTGTCAGTCTAGAGACTAAGGTGCACCTAATCCAGGTCGTGGTCATGCAGTTATTTGCTGTGCTTCAGAGAGCTGGACAGTGACTAAGGATGACAGAAGAAGAATCTATGTCTTTGAATTGTACTTCTGGAGGAGTCTTAATCATACCATGGACTTCCAAGAAACGAATAGGTCTGTCTTGGACAGTTTGAAACCAGGTTTCTCCTTGGAGGCTAGATTTTTGAAGCTCCATCTCACATACTTTGGGCACGTGGTCAGGAGAGACTGGTCCTCGGAGAAGGACATCATGCTCAGAAGGGTAGAGGGACAACTCAGGAGAGGAAGACCCTGGTAGAGATGGATTGATACAGCAGCTGGGGCAATAGGGGTTGGTGTGTCAGAATTAGTGAGACTTGCTCCGGACACGGCAGGCTTCAGAGCTGCTGTACATAGGGTCGCT